CCAAAACCCCAAAACCCCAAAACCCCAAAACCCCAAAACCCCAAAACCCCACGATCTTAGAATAAAAAAAAAATGTGAAAAATATAAGTAAATAAAATAAATATAAAAATGATATTGTTTAAATTGACATAAATTTCAAAGTGGTAACGAAATCGTCTATTCAGAAGATTTTGGGTAGCAAGTAAACTACCTATTGCGAAATAAGACTTTGAAACTAAGCAATAACATCAATATGATACCTTCCTGTCTATATTCTCAGTTCTAATTAGATGTGATGAAATAGTCTCTTTTGACTTACTTTATTGAAAAAATCTTGATCCCTAGACATATATTCTCTATATTGTTGCAAACTTCAAAAATTTTAGTTTCAACTAAATCATCACTAATTTCTTAAATAACCTAATTTCTAACAAATCATCATTTGATTTTTTCAATAAAGCCTTTAAATGTTGACATCCATTACGATTCATGTTTTATTATGATTTAAAAAGTAACAATTAAAAAATTATTCAACGGAAATAATGAAAAAATGATGCATCAACCGGGATTCGAACCCGGGTCAAGTGCTTGGAAGGCACCTATCCTAACCACTAGACTATTGATGCGTTCTCATTGCTCCTCCTTGATAATTATCTTTTAGTACTCAGGCCAAACAAAATTTGGCCTTATAGTTATAAATGCTTTGACTAATTCATACATTTCTCTCAAAGATTACCTTCAGAGAATAAAATTACAAAGTAATTTAGGTCTTAATATTTTATAGTTTCAATTTAATCTTTTATATAACTAACTAAAATCATTCCTGCTAATTTTACAAATTGAGTTTTTTCTATTTATTTTCTAGACTTTAAAGTCGCTTTTCTATCATCTTTTGAGTACTTAGCATCATTTTATGAGACTCCTTGCTTATCAGTATCTTTGGTTGATTCTTCAAAAAGGTGAAAGATCTTATATTTCTGTTTAAAGAGCTTTACTTATGATTTTCTGGCTGGAGTTTTATGAGTTCATTCGAATGTCTTTAACTCTCATCACTTGATAAATCTAAGGAATAGGTATATTCACGCATCAATTCCTCAATTATAAACTGTGCATTCTCATACTTCTGTTTAGCCTTGCTAATCTCATCAGTTTCTCTCAGTGCAGCAGCCTCTGTACACAAGTTGAATGCAAAACTAAGGATTTCATTACCAATCTAAGAAGGATATATAGTTTCAATTATATAGCCAATATCTATAATGAAGTCTAGCAATTCAACGTAAATATCTTTATCCATCGAAATCTACATCATCTTTATGATCTTCACTCCATGCTTCTCATACACTTTCTCAAGGAAATATGGTGTAAGCTTTATCTCTCTAACTTAAGATTAGTATATCTTTAACGAATGTCTTGATTCCATATTTTACTCTATATTTTAATCTTGGCTATCATACTTGTCCCACATTTACTTAATTTTTTTTGCATATTTCATGTATATTTCGTTATTATGGTCCTTTAGAAATTCTTCTGAGCAAAAAGCTATTAAGAACATTCTTAATTCCATAGCTAAGTTAAAGAGTAAGTATTTTAGCTACTTTTCATATAGATATTAATTAAAAGTGTTTATCTTCTCCATTCCATTAATCTCAGTCTATCCTACTCTCAATGCTTAAAAGCATCTTTAAAAGAGATATTCGATAGCATGATATGTATCATCAATAGCCTCATCTAGATCTTCTTTGGTTAATGAATCATTTGATTCACTTATCTGCTTCTAATCTTGATTGGAATATGATTGAGGTTTGTATTACGTCTAGATTGTGTTTACCTAATTTGTATTTAAACGTTAATTTTTAGATGCTTATAGCTTTTGCTCTTCATCAATTTAAGGCTTAATGTTCAAAAAACCATCATCATCATCGTCATTAAAATCTAAAACGTTCTTTCCATATCTATTATTGCTCTTTTTATTATCAAGTTTCCCATTAGAATTTTACTTTAATTCTATTTTAGGTTATTAAATGGGTTCATTATTTTACTGCTATTGCTAATTTTACTTTACAACTTCAATTTATTGTTAATTTTATTTAGGATTTTGATCAATTTATTTCTAATTTGTTGGCAAAGAATTGTTGTTTTATTTTTAAGCAGTATAAGTTGGAGGAGGAAGTTCTTAAGCTATTTTATTCTATTAAGGCATTATTTCATCTAATACTTGCTTAAATATTTTCTCATCGTATGCTACAAAAGGATGGGCAAAGAAATCTGTCCATTATATTCTGTCCTCAGATTTGGATTATAAAAGCTAAGAAATTAAGTGCAAGCATATTTTTGAAACTTAAACTCCCGGTGGAAATCTGTAGTTGCCTTTCTCAACATTTAATTTGAGCTCTTCTCTATTTCTTCCCATGAAAGGAGGAACTCCAGCAACAAGTTCAAATAAAATCACTCCAACAGACCATAAATCTGCCTTCTAATCATAAGTCTCTTTTCTTTAAATCTCAGGGGCCATGTAAATTGGAGTACCACATGTCGTCTCAAAAAGATCTTCTGACTAATATCTCCTAGCTAATCCGAAGTCAGCTAATTTTAGGGTTGCTTTTTCACTCTTTTCAGTTAGTAGGATATTCTATAGTTTAAGATCTCTGTGAATGATGTTGTTCTAGTATAAGTACTTTAATGCATCAGCTATCTACTTCATAAACCTTTATGCATCTATTTCACTGAGTCTTTTTCTCTCTTATAAAAATGAGCGCATGTCTCCCCCTCCACAGTATTCTAAGAAGATATAATTGTTTTTCTAAGTCCTCATAAATTAGACGAATTTCACGATGTTTTTATGCCTTAATAATTAAGTTAGCGAGAGTTCCTTTTGTAAAGTATCTTAAGCTTTAAGTCCAAGTTGACTTTCCAATTTGGAATTTGGAATTTCCTTGCAGGCAACTATTTCCTATGTTTTCTAATGCTCTGCTAAATATACCTAAGAAAATGCTCCTTTGCCTATTTCTTTATCCAGGTATATGTGAAAATTCCCAATCTTTTTAATTGACTTTTTACTCTAAGATGATCTCTCCTTGACTTACTAAATATCACTATACATAAGAGTATGATCCAATATTTCTCTCGTATTTATTTGTTCAACCATTTATATCAATTTATTCAAATATTGACTTAGCATGAAACTTACTTTAGTAAATGGGGTTTTGGGGTTTTGGGGAGATCGGAAGAGCGTCG